GGTTAAGCTGATGCAGATTGAGTGGATTAGTGACAAATAGTTTGCATCAGGCTATTTTACTTTAGCAAGAAACAAGTAGTGGCGTTAGCCATTGCCAGAGCTGAGTTTACAGGAACGACCAAAGGAATGTGCGAACTTCTTAGGCTTAAAAGCTAGCCAGCAAACTAAGATTGTTTTGCTCCTATTTTTCAAATGAACTTGTTATGTGACAATAAGGCGGCCATTGATATTTCTCATAATCGAGTCTAGAATGATTGCACTAAACAAGTTGAGGTGGATCGACATTTCATTACACAGAATCCCGAAGCAGAGATAATTCGACTTTCATTTGTCAAATCTGAAGATCAACTGGCTAATATACTTACAAATGGCTGTAACCAGCGAAATCTTCCACACTGATCACTTGACAAGTTTNAATTCGACTTTCATTTGTCAAATCTGAAGATCAACTGGCTAATATACTTACAAATGGCTGTAACCAGCGAAACCTTCCACACTGATCACTTGACAAGTTTGGCATTAAAGATAATCTATGCACCAACTTGGGAGGGAGTATTGACGTTAGTTATCATTCAAGAGATGACTGGAGAAATCATTGCATCGGTCTTACAGTAAAATCCTTTGTTTTAAGGGCCAACCATGATATTAGTCTTAGATAGTGTTTAGACTATAAATAGCTTCTGTAAATTGCTCATTGTACTGCAATTTATTTGTACTCATTTATGTATACAGATATATGAAAAAATACACACTTCTTTGACAGTAGTGACATCAGCACATCTAAAGAAGATGAGAAAATATAGAAACTTAAATATTTCCTGTTTAATTTTAAGAAGAAATTAAAATGAGGCACATGTAGATTGTAGGGTTCTGTATAGATAGAAGCATGGGTTTTTTATTTATTGAACACAATACTCCAACTTGAATAATACAAATTAATCTTGAATGTAAGTACATCTGAGGAAAATTAAAACTAAAATAGTCTTTGTTGGACGTTTATGGGTTGCATTCTTTTTCAATTAAACGCTAGTAATGAGCAAACTATATGTACTTGTTATTTGGTATCTTCATATTTTTACTTCATTACAAGATCAAACGAGTTCAATTACCAGAAAACTATAGTCATAATGTTTAAGATAAAACTATATTTCACACTAATTAGTTTACTTACGTGCACTGCATGTTTTATTTATATCGTAGAAGAATTTGTAATTTATGCCTTTTATATATTGGAATTGAAAAAAAAAATTGCTAAATAAATTTAAACATGTTTTTTCGCACATTTTGCACACGTTTCATTTTTATTCTCTCGACTTTCATCTTTATGTCTTTTACATGAGATTGGATATGTTCTTATTCAAAATATATACACTGGAACAGGCGAAAAGTGCTTGTATTACACTCA